GATGCTCACGCAGTTCCCGGTCCTCATTTCGAACTGCTTCCACCAGTCGTGGACGCTCGGGCCGCTGGCTTGTGAGGTAAGCTTCTCACGCTTCTCTTCATTCCTCAAGGAAACTGCCCGGCTGCGTCTTCCTTCCATGTGGTCTGCCGCGGGTTTCCAGTTTTTCGAAAATTGTCACATTTTCAAAACTCATTGCTGAACCTGCATCTCTAGATCAGAAATTACTGTACTTCTCTCTACGCCCCTGTCCCCTGCCCCCCGCGCCCCAGATCTACGGCTTCTGCGGCGCCCTCTTCGGAACCGTGTCCATCATCACCATGGCCCTCATCGCCTTCGACCGGTACCGCGCCATCGTCACGCCCTTCGCAGGTGAATGTCAGTTTCATGTATCTGCCTGATTATAGATTTTAAGATTTTAATATCAGCCATATTAAACTCAAAACATTCGTAAACTTGTTATAGATTTTCAAACTCTAAATGCATTTTCCAGTCCCCACTCAGCAGGAGGAACTAATCCTTGTGCCCCGTAATCACCAGGGCGGCGGCTGAGTTTCGGGCGTGCAGTGATGTGGGCCTTGGGCGCGTGGGCGTACAGCGCGGCGTGGTGCAGCCTTCCCTTCCTCGGCTGGAACCAGTACGTCCTTGAGGGATTCCTTACAAGGTGAGGGGCGAGCCTCTGGTATGTCCAAGAGTATATGTGTGTATGCATATTTCATCCCTATTAACAATGAACAATGTGGCAGTTTGCATTTCTCTGATATGAGAGAAAGTAATAGATGTTTTAAATACATACATTCAGTACATGTTCTACGGGTCGAGATTTGAAGTTCCTCTTATTAAATGCTCTTCAGTATCAAGACTTATTGTGTTAGATCAATAAATGTTTAAATATACTCATTAATTATAGTGTAACTTTAAATAATTAATCAAAGTGACAATACTAATATTATCAATTAGCACAATTCAAGGTTTGAGTTAAATCTTTGTAAAATAAATCAATACATTTATTAACTGAATATTGTCAATGTAATATAATGAAATTACAATATCAAACATTACGTGAAATAAAAGATAGATAAGATATTGATTGTGTTCTTAATTCTTTAAATACAACTAGACAGTTATGACTCACCGTTTTATAATAATCAACCATGAAACTTGATTAAAACAAAATCAACAATATTCAAAATTACGTTATTTTTTCATGAATCAAATACTATAAAACAAAACATAATTATATAAATAATTGGTTATTCAATGTCTCAAAGCTAATAAATGCATTAAATATTACACAAAATAATAATGATCAATAGACAAGCAAATAGTTGAATTATTGTAAACATGATCAGTGAATTAAATATTACTAAGAGAAAAATAATCTTAAGAAAAACAAATAGTTAATTATAATAGCATAGATTAAATTGTATTTCTATGTGAATATATGTATTAAACATCAAACAAGTAAAAGTAATAATCATGACAAAAGTAAATAATATATAAAAAATCAATCTTACGGAAAATAACAGGACTCGTCACTGTCTACACACTTCCGCTGATCTATCAATCTTAGAAAGCACTTAATTATTTAATTACACTTAACTAAACTTAACTTAAACTAACCTATTCATTCTCATCAACTGTTAATAAAGAAGTTATATCTAACTTAATATTTATATATGGCTTTGGTGTCGAATACATGTATATATTTTGACTATTAACACAATATTACCATAGCATTAGCTAAATTTGATAATCAAGTTGTTTCCTTACATGTTCAAAAAAATCTTCACTTTCTTCCTAATCTTATCTATGTTCCAGAATAGCACTCCCTTGTTACTGTCTTCCATTTCTAATTCCTGTCCACTTTGTTGCATCGCGACGGGTTTACCAAGATGAACATGGCTTCTGGACACTACTCCGAAACCTAATCCACATTATCAAACACTAAGCGTCCTTTTATTTTCGATATGGAGCTCATCCGGTCACGCTCTTGTTGGTTATCACTTAGTTATTTCTTATAGTTGGAAAGATACCCGCATCAGGACTTTTCTATATCCCAGCACATTTTTAACACTATTTATCACTTCTAACATTTTCTACCTGCCACCTGAATTCATTTCTTGTTTCCAAACTGATTCACAATGATCTTTATTGCGATCGATTAGAACTGCTTGTTGTTTCGCACTCGGGATTTCTTTATTGCTTCTGTTGGACAGTTTCGTGGTGTCACCCTTTGTCATAAACTTTTTACATTTTTCAAGTTCATGTAGCCGAGTGCCGCGGCGAAACCATGATTCCCATGACAATGACCAGACGTCAGACAGATTCTGGTTTGTCTTCACGTAGACCTTTTTTCTGGTGCATTTATGGAAAAAACGAAAGATATAACAAAACGTAGTTGTAATGTTTCCCTTTTTATCGTGATGCATTTCATTGCAAATGAATATGTATTAATATTCTTACTGATTCTTGTGTTAAGATTTAGAGCAAATAAATCATCAGGTGTGTAGCAGCAAAATATATATACATACCTATCGTTTGACAATGAATGTCCTATGCTAATGTTAATAAAAGATATGAATGAGGAAGAACTTCACAGGCAAGACATGCATCTGGGAAAGAGAGAGAGAGAGAGAGAGAGAGAGAGAGAGAGAGAGAGAGAGAGAGAGAGAGAGAGAGAGAGAGAGAGAGAGAGAGAGAGAGAAAGAGAGAGAGAGAGAAAGAGAGAGAGAGAGAAAGAGAGCGAGAGCGCTCACAGCGTCCTTTCCGCTGCAGCTGCACCTTCGACTACCTGAGCGGCGACGCGTGGAGTCGGTCCTACGTCGTGTCCCTGTTCCTGGCGGCCTACCTCGTCCCCCTCGCCGTCATCGCCTGCTGCTACGTCCACATCGTAGTCTCCGTGAATCGCCACGACGAGGACATCCTCAACCACGAGCGGGCGCAGGGAGAGGTAAGGAGGACGAAGGAAAAGGGAAGAGGGTCAAAGATGCGAGCGGTCAGGAATGGGAAATGGGGAGGAAGATACACCTAATCGTAGGGATATATGATATTCAAGAGAAATAGAAAAATATATATGTATATATATACATATATATATGGATAGATAGATAGATAGATAGATGGATAGGAAGGGGGAGGTAAGATATGAGATACGAGGGAAGTTGATGTAGTAAAGCACACACAGAGTAGTGTAATAAAAAAAGGAAAGAAAATATAGAAACGAAATTTTAAAAGTAAAAAAAAATATATAAATATATAAGTCACGTCACGAGCTCTCTTGCAAGGTCCACGACGGTGGCGGCTGTTGCCCCGAGCGGATGCCCTTCCTCTTAATCCCTGGAGCCGGATTCGAACCACCCTCATGGGCCGCGACCGCGCGCGTTACCGCTGCACCGCGGCAGCCGCCAAAAAGTTCATTATAAGAATAAAAAGTAAAAATGTCTTAACGTTGTCCTTCATACCTGAGATGGAGATTTTGTTTACTTTTTTTTAGGAGCTGAACCCCGTGCCGATAGCTGTGAGGAAATTGAATAATTAAACATCCTTGAAATTGGACATTGATCTTTATACATCCATATTCATAACGTGATTCATTTGACACACACACACACACACACACACACACACACACACACACACACACACACACACACACACACACACACACACACACACACACACATACGGAAAAAATCGATATATGACAATATTTTATTTTCAAAGGTAAAGGAAGGATATAAAAATTACTTTCCTCCCCACAGCCAAGACCGTAGTAATATTTCATTCCATATCTTCCCATCACCGACGTCAGGAGGTACATATTCTTGTCAAAGACATAGCTGGGGCTTAACTACATAATGCTCTCGATGCCGATGTAGTCTTTCGTGACGAAAATCATGTGGCTTATCCTGTCGTCACAGATGTAGCTGCGTATTTCCACGCAAGGTTTCATCCTCTCGTCCTCGACGTCGCAGGAACATATCTCCCAGTCACCAACGTCTCGGAAGTTCAACGGAGTATTCTCTCGTCACCGACGTTGCGTGAGCTTATCTTCACGTTACCGACGTCTCAGCGGCATATTCTCTCGTCACCGACGTCGCATGGGCTTTGCTTCACGTCACCAACATCTTAGCGGCCATTTCTCTCGTCACCGACGTCACATGGGCTTTTTTTTTCGTCACCGACGTCGCGTGGGCTTTTTTTCTCGTCACTGACGTCGCGTGGGCTTTTTTTCTCGTCACCGACGTCACATGGGCTTTTTTTCTCGTCACTGACGTCGCGTGGGCTTATCTTCTCGTCACTGACGTCTCAACAGCAAATTCTCTCGTTACCGACGTCGTATGGGCTTCCCGCCACAGACGTTTCAGCGGCCAATTCTCTCATAATCAACATCGCGTGGGCTTATTTTCTCGTCACCGACGACTGAGCAGCATATTCTCTCGTCATCGACGTCTCAGCGGCCAATTCTCTCGTTACCGACGTCGCTTGCCCTTATCTTCTAATCTCCAACGTCGCGTGGGCTTATCTTCTTGTCACCTAGATAGATAGATATATATATAGATATATATTCATATACATATATTCATATATATATATATATATATATATATATATATATATATATATATATATATATATATATATATATATATATATATATATATATATATATATATAAATGAGAAGAAGGCCAGCTGCTGGGACAGAGGTGTATCATCCGGTCTTGTTACGTATTGTTGACATCGCTCGGTCACGCGCAAGGCTCGTTCTCGAGCTGTCTGCAACGCTTGAAACACTGCGGTAACGCATAGCGATGCAGGTTCTGTTCGATATCTACAGATTATTCCTGGTGATCCGATGGTCGCGAGGGTCGTCGCGTGCCAGGGTAACGGGTGTGGCGGAGGTTTCGCACTTAGGTGCAACATTCAGTTGCGAGGAGGGTCAGTCGTCCTCAGAAGCTGAAATATAAGTGTAACAGGCCAGTAAAAGGGCTAAGGATAATAATACGTTTTTCAATCACCTTACTAAGTTGCAAGAAAAATGAAAGTGTAATAAGAACAATTTGCCACATGAAGGGTAACGTGTCAAGTGAGGTGTTAATTACTTTGGATTTGTTCAGTAGAGTACCATCATATTGAAGAGAGAAACATTATTTGGACAAGAATTCCATATCTTTGGGCTAAATAGGCAAATACTTATGCTTCGGACACAAGGCAGCTGGGCCTGAACTTAATTCTAAGGCCTGATTCACACCTAACGCTCACGCTCACACTCACGCTCTCGCTCTTGCTGTCGCTCACGGTTGAGCACGCTCAATATATCTTTTGCTTCGATCGTGAGCTTGATTGTCATGATGAGTAGAGCTGAGCGTAGATGATTGAGCGGACGGTTTGAATACTCTGCCTGTTTATCATTATAGAATATTTGAGTGCGATCACTTGCGTGCGCGTGAGTGTGAGCGTGAGCGTTAGGTGTGAATCAGGCCTAACAGTGCACGTCTCGGGCGCGTCTCGGGCGCTTCAATCGTATGAGCGTAAGTGTATGTAATTCTCGGTGCGTAGGGCGCAGGATTCTTTCGTTTACGGCCATGAGCCAGACTCAAAATGAACTTGTGTTGATAATCTAACGATGATACGGTGTGGTGATAATCTTCAATCGTATGAACGTAAGTGGTACGTAATTCTTGGTGTGGTGCTGGCTTAAAATTAACTTGCGGTGATAATAACTGTGTAAGCCTATATAAAGCACAGTGTTTGCAATGCGTTGCCATTATTTGCAGCTGAAGAGACTACCATCAGTACATATTCACCAAGCCTTAAAACTAATGAATCATAAATTTCAGCATTACTGAGGACAAGATATCGAACTTCGAGAGGACGTCATGAAAGCGATTTGGGTTCAGTTATAAGTCATAGAGATGGCATAATCATAATCCTAGAGTGAAATCCGTGTAGAGTGGACAGGTAGGTGGCTTTGGGCTTAGGGCAGGTAATCGACATGTATCTTAAAATTATGTGTGGATAAGCGAATTAGCGCGGGGAGTATAACAAACAGGTGTTCTGAAAGACAGAGTGATATACACACATTCATAGAGGAAACAGTGGGTACAATATACAGGTAAAAACAATAATATCACAACCAAAATCGCAGCAGTAAATTCGAATAACATAACGGGGGAAAACAGAACTTCTCAGTGCATAGTTATTTGTTTTGAGAGAAAATAAAATACAAGGCACTGCAATGTGAGGACAACAATAATAAACATTAGATAAAACACCATAGTAGCAGAAAAATATGATGTGTGGGTGGGGGGGGGTAAGGTAGGGAAGGTATGAAATGTCATTCACAGAATGACATTGTCCATGAGTTCTGGTATGTGTTTCATGAAGATAACATTTGATATGCAGTACAAACATCACCCATTTTTTGGCGCATCCACCTTCAACTGGCAAATATTGGATTGTCGTAACCTGAATGAACTCACCGAGCCCACCGCCTTCTCTCGCACAGGGCGTTAAGTATACCAACTTGCAGCGGCGAGAAGCTCAGCTGGCCAGAGTGGTGTTCACGTCGGTTTTCTTCTGGGCTCTGGCTTGGACGCCCTACGCTGGTGAGACCCTCTCTCGCTCTCTCTTCCTCTCTTCCTCTCTCTCTCTCTCTCTCTCTCTCTCTCTCTCTCTCTCTCTCTCTCTCTCTCTCTCTCTCTCTCTCTATCTCTCGTGTACGTGTGTGTGTGTGTGTGTGTGTGTGTGTGTGTGTGTGTGTGTGTGTGTGTGTGTGTGTGTGTGTGTGTGTGAGTGTGTGTGTGAGTGTGAGAGTAGAGTGTGAGTGTGAGTGAGTGAGTGTGAGTGTGAGTGTGAGTGTGAGTGTGAGTGTGAATGTGAGTGTGAGTGTGAGTGTAAGTGTAAGTGTGAGTGTGTGAGTGAGTGAGTGAATGAGTGAGTGGGACTTTCATTTCCCGATTAGAATTCCTTACCTCTTTAAAAGAGATTATTCAGTCATTACGAAACAACTCATTGTCATTGATAATTCAGTATCAATGCGAATGAGGATAATGAACCATTGACAATAGTATTAACATGGCATAACACTTCAATAACCAAATAATAACAGTGATGATAATGATGATGATAAACTCCACGTCACAAGCACCAAACAGCCTAAACTCTTCGCCCATTCCCTCGTCAGTGGTGTCCATGCTGGGCGTGTTTTCGTGGCACAGCGCCCTCACCCCGCTGGCCACGATGCTGCCGGCTCTCTTCGCCAAACTCTCCACGGTCTACAACCCCTTCATCTACGCCGTCTCCCACCCTCGGTATCGGCAGGTAAGAAGATGATCTACGCGTTTTTTTCTTTTTAATTATAATGGCACTGGGAATTGACTTCAGTACAGTCAAGCAATATGTGTGTGTGTGTGTGTGTGTGTGTGTGTGTGTGTGTGTGTGTGTGTGTGTGTGTGTGTGTGTGTGTGTGTGTATGTGTGTGTGTGTGTGTGTGTGTGTGTGTGTGTGTGTGTGTGTGTGTGTGTTGTGTGTGTGTGTGTGTGTGTGTGTGTGTTGTGTGTGTGTGTGTGTATGGGTATATGTATATGTATATATATATATATATATATATTATATATATATATATATATATATATATATATATATATATATATATATATATATATATATACATATACATATATATATTTATATTGTGCACATGTGTTAAATAAACACATACTCAAATAGATGGTACAAGTACAGACATATGATACGTCCTGACCTTTGGTAATTCCTCCCACTAGGAGCTGGGTCGTCGCCTCCCGTGGCTGTGCTGTGTGCTGCCTTCGCCCGCCGCGGTTCCTACCTCATCTCTCAGGTCCTCGACCAGGTCTGACGTGTCTACTATGCCATTCCTCTCGCGCTCGTCCTCCGTCGTGTCCTCCAGGTCAGAGGATGAGGGAAAGGGCAATGGGAGAGGGGGCAGGGGAGGAGAGGATGATGTGTTGATTCTTACAGAGACTGAAAAGAGGGGGTAAGAAGGAATGCGTTGGGAGGAAGAGATGGGGAGGATAAAAAGCTGTGAGTAAGAGTGAAATGGAAATGATGGGAGATGGAGGGAGATATGGGGGGGGGGGGGGTAATAAGATGACTGAATGAAAGGATTACCTGGGGTCAAGCAATGAGAGTGAGTTTGGAATAAATGTGTTAGCATCCAGGGATGGCTAGAAATACGTGTTGTCTTTGCTATTAATGGTATTACTGTTATTGGCGGAGTCCGCTGCAGAAGCCATGAGTGGGGAGGCGCAGTCCAGAGTGCATTTCCTGGATAGGAACTATACTCCTTGGGGGTCTTAGCAGTGGTAGAGAGGGATATGACCCATCCAAGATGACTGTGTGATTGGGAGAGAGCAACAAGCAAACATGAGGATTGGAAAGAAAGAGATTGTATGGATGAAGACTAAATACTTATAAAAGCAGTCATAATATCTGTTCGTTCTGAAGAAGGCGATGGGTGAACACGTCGCTTCGTGAGTAGGCTGCGCTGCCACTGTATCATGGGTTAATAGCTGTACCTGTCCCTGGTACAGAAAACCCACCAATTATAGCGGAGGAGAAACAAGGAAGAACGAGGCTGCTACAGAGCAAATGATTTTTCAACAGGTAATTAGCAGTAGTTGTATGCCTCGAGATGACATGAATCTCTTTTCAGTATGAGTATAGAAGGTTCTAAGATGTAGCAGGAATGAGGTTGCTTTTCAATGCAAGTACTATGTTATCTGAATATTAGTGCACTCTGCCGCTTTTGTAAAGAGGTGCGACTAGGCATTAATATGTGTATGGAATGTCTCCACTTGTCCAGGTAGAGGAATAATGTACGTGCAACTAGGGCACGAGAGCACAACTACTAAGTGTAGGTGTAGTATACCTGCTTTACTACATGGAGGCCGGGAGCAAAAGGGGGAATTTCAGCAGAACAACTCAGCAGGCAGCGGATGGTCTTAAATCAAGCAGTGTGGGTAGCAAATGATGTAGGAGTTGAGAGAAGTTGAGCAGGGCACCGCCAACAGCTTGTGAGTATGATTGATGGACTGAGGTGAAAGAAGGCATCCTTGACGGTTATTCGATAGAAAGATAGAAAGATACT